GCTGACGTTTCGGGCCTAGACCCTAGGCCCGAAACGTCAGCTTTCCTGCTCCTCTGATGCTGCTTGGCCTTCTGTGTTCATCCAGCTCTACACTTTGTTAACTCAGATTCTCCAGCATCTGCAGTTCCTACTATCTCCAAGACTCTTGTGATCTCAGTGTTAAATTTTATTTGAGCCAGAATCCACGGCTTTTTGGGGGAGCAGTTTTAGATTCCCAATGTCTTTTCAGTTGGAAAATAGTGCTTCCTGATTTCCCTTCTGAATGACCAATTACGATTGTTCTGAATTCCTCTACCAAGCAAAATTATTTCAGTTTTGAATTATTTTTAAAACTCTAAAATCTAAAGCAATGCAAACCAATTTAATGTAGCCTGTTTCTATCAGGCAACTTTTGAAACATACTCTTCCCTGAAGCAATTAATTCCCTGATCTCTGGCTCTAGGTGGCTGACTGTGTTTGCTTGATGTCTCTGGATAAACCAGGAGTTATTCCCGTGGACTCTCATGTCTGGCAAATCTCGAAGCGTGATTATCACTCCTACTTGGGGGCAGGTCAGAAGACTCTTACTGACAAGGTGTATCGAGAAATCGGTAAGAAAAGATCAACTCTGGTTGTTAATGGGATAAATAAACTGCATTGTCCCAATCACTAGTCAGATAACTACTTTTAGATTCACTGAATCATACAGTATATAAGGTGGCTTTCGCCAGTCCCTTCAAGGAAGGACCTATTTAGTCCCAGTTCCCTGTTCATTCTTCATAAAATCTGTACAGTGTGGAAACAGCCCTTCAGCCCAACAAATCCACATTGACCCTCCGAAGAGCATCCCATCCAGACCCACTCCTCTACCCTTTCCCTGTAACCCTGCATTTCCCATGGCTAATCCACACATCCCTCGACACCATGGGCAATTTAGCATGGCCAATCCACCTAGCCTGCACATCTTTGGACTGTGGGAGGAAACCCACGCAGACACAGGGAGAATGTGCAAACTCCACACAGACAGTCACCCACGGGTGGAGATGAACTCGGGTCCCTGGTGCTGTGAGGCAGCAGTGCTGACCACTGAGCCACCGTGCCATGATGAGAAGGGAGTGTCACAAAGAAGAACTATATTGGCAGAATTATGATGAAATCCAGAGGTATTATGATGCAGAATGACCTGTGGATTCTTCATGTGCCTGCAATGTATTCTTCAAGTATTTATCCAACTTCCTTCTTAAAAACTACAGTTGGACCTGCCCCATCAGACACTACGTTCTGGGATCTTAATCACCCATTGCTCAATAAAGATTTCTCTCAAGTTACCTCTAGATCTTCCGCCAATCATTTTATATCTCATTGTTGAACCTTCTGTTATTGGAAACAGGCTGCATTTTACATTCTCCACACCATTCAATAATTTAAATTCCCCTGTCAAATCACCTACTGGACTTGACTACACTAAGAATTAACCTCATCTTCTCTCATCTATCCACGTTACTATAATCCGTCATTACTGAAACCATTCTGGTCAATCTCTGTTGTAGCTTCTCCAAAGCCTTCAAGGTCCCTCCTAATGTGCCTAGGGTTACTCACAGTATTCCAGTAGGCTAGAGCCAGTGCTTGATATGGGTTTAGTATAACCTGTATTTTAATACTTTATGCGTCTCCTTCGTTAATTTATTAACTTGTCCAGTCACCTTCAAAGGACAGCTTGTTCTGTACTTCCTTGTAAAATGGTATAATTTAGTATGTATCGTCTCTTCTAATTCTTCCTGCTTTTCCACTTTTCTGCAATGAGTTTCGTCTGTTACGACTATGATGGGAGGAATGTGCTGATAGTCAAGGCCCACTGCACAGTCACACCAGGTTGTCATATAAGTGAGCTTTCTATCCTATGCTTCTAACATGAAGCTGTTTTATTACAACATCTGAAAACCTTCGCTATCTTTATTTTTATTTCAGGTGAATTTTTTCGTAACCTTTGGGGTCCTTTTGCTGGCTGGGCACAATCTGTAAGTAATAAAAATACACAATTCATTGACAGCTGTAAGAATCACAATGATCAATAGAACCGTTGGAGACTAGCAGAATTGTAGATTTTATATCAAACAATAAAAGTGAAGAGGTGATGATGAGCCTGTCTAACCTCAATAAGACCTAAGTCAGATAGGGTGGATGTCACACTGAGTAAGAGTATTGAAGCTTTATTGAGGGTCCAATGTAGATTGAATAGGATACTGCTTGTATAAGCAAATGAACATTGAAAGATGGCCTTGAAAGTTGCAGCTTTTGTTTTAATGAACAATGCAGATTCCATGGTGATATGATAGAGATGTTTAATATTTTGGTAAGATTGATAAGTGGGGGTAGAATACTTTTAGTAGTTGAGTGAATAGAGGGATGTGTGTCAAGGCACCGGACAATCGCGGGGTGTTATTTGACCTGACTGTGTGCCTCTCTCCTGCGGTTATATCTGAGCCCAACTGCCTGAGGAGTGGGAGAGTCCGGTGTCTGCCTGTGTAGTTGAGGCCATCCGTGGCTACTGAAGTGTTTTATCGACACCTGAAACTTTTGACTTTATGAACATGGAAGAAAAGTTGTGCAGATTGTCAGTTCAGGTTGGTAGTTACTCTCCAATCGAATAAGTAGCTTGAATTACATTTAGCCATCCTGTCCCCATATCCTTTTACCTCTTTCCTTCCTTCTTCAGCCTACCCCAATTGACTCTTGAAAGTCAACACTTTCTGCCTTGATTATTTAATTTTGGATGCAAACACAATTGTGTGTATTTGTGCTCTCCTGTTCCAGAAGTCTAATATTTAATCTTTTACCCATAGCCTCCTGTTCTAAATCTTTTGCTGAATAAGAAGAGGCCATTCGGCCCATCAAACCTGCTCTGCCATTCAATCAGATCATGGACTGATCTGACTGTGGCCTTAACTCCACATTGCCACCTACTGTCGACAATCTGAACTGACCACGCATTTGATGGTTAACCACGTTGACAGTATCATCATCCCAATCCCCATCGGGGAATTCAACCCGTGTCTCCTGTGTGATAGGCAGGGAAATTAACCAAAGCCTAACAAATTTAAATCAAGTTTTAATTTGATTTGTTAAGCGCTCTCTACATTTTTGTTGAAATTGCACTATATTAATGGTAAAAGCAGAAGGTGCTGGAGAAATTCAGTTGATCTGGTTGCATCTTTAGAGAGAGAAGCAGAGCTAGTGTTTCAAGTCCAGTATGGCTATTCTTTTGAACTGAAGGAGAGTCATACTGGACTTGAAAGGTTAACTTTGTTTCTTTCTCCATAGATTTTGCCAAACCTGCTGAGTTTCTCCAGTATCTGCAGTTCTCAGCTTTTGTAATGTGAGCGATGTCCCTTTTGAGAAGAAGGCAAATAGAACCTTTTAATTCATTGATTACAGTAAATGTCAATCACGGTTAGCAAAAGATTTAGAATGAGGGGCCTAGGTAACAGATTAAATGTTAGACTTTTCAAACACAGGAGGAAGAGGATCATCACACAATTGTGTTTGCAACCAAAGTTAAATAGTCGAGGCAGAAACTCTGGGTTTTCAAGAGTGAATTGAGATAGATGGAAGAAGAAAGAAAATAGATAAAAAGATACAGGGATAGGATGGTTAGATGTGATTCAAGCTACTTGTTTGATTGAAGAGTAACTACCAGCTTGAATTGGATAATCTGCACAATTTTTCTTCCATGTTGGAATTTCTAAGTAATCTATGCACTGTGCTGATTAATCGAGTCAGACAGAACATTGTATCTAAACCCAGCAATCACACTATATTCTCTTGCATCATGTTCCCCCATTGCTGAGAGAGCTGCGCGTGTATATATTAAGGAGTATGTGCCTGGCATGAATCAGTTATGTGATTTGTGATCATTCTCACACCTTCGCTGATATATTGGTTCAAGCTGAAAAGGTAGCAGTTATAGAATTAGACAGCTTTTGGAAACAAATGGAGTATGGTTTAAAGAGACAATATCAATAGCTTCCTGCAGCTATTATGTATCCTGTCTTGGCCTCAGAGTAACTAATTGTTTGTATCTTCTCTTTCCAGGTTTTGTTTTCTTCAGATTTGAAGAAATTTCAGGGATACAAGTCTAACCAGGATTTACAGGAAAACTGAGAAACCTTGAGCTAACTGTTGGTTACTATTGGTCCCATATAATGTAGAGGATAATGGGATTACGGTTTTACATTCTTCCAATGATATTGCTCTTGCGACCACCATCCTGCCTCACCGTTTTTAAGCTTCAGCACAGTCTGGGGCCCAGTTTTTCTTTCCCTGTGGAGCAACACGGACCTATCTCTTTCTCCAAATTTGTCTTCCACCAGCTTTTATTGTGCAAATGTTTTTCAGAATTATCAAGGCCAGACATTTTGATCTCCTATTTTCTGTCATGATTTTTATTCTTAAGAATGTTCCAGTGGAGCAGTAGTGCTATCATACAGCAAAGGTAAGAGTCTGCAAACGCTATCCAGACTGGGGTGTCTTGGTTTTGTGTTCACCAAAGCAGCAGGCAGCCTGGGTGTTACTGTCAAATGGGAGTATTCTGCAAAGCAACTTTTAAGCAAAAATCATCTAGTTGAGATATAGATGAACATCTCACTAAGTTACTGTTTAAACCATTTGGCATCCAATGCTACAAACCCCGCCATACTCACCCCAATTACCCCCACCCCACCAGTTTTAAAAAGTATATGCTTCTCTCTTTCTGAATTTTTAGCCAGAGTTTTGGTGTGGTCAGATCAAGGCTTTTAACGTAAAAATGTAAGAAATAGGAGCAGGAGTAGGACACTGAACCGCCTCTGCTATTCAGTAAGCTCTCATCTAGGCCTCAATTCCACTTCCAGCCTGTTCCTCATTACCTTTGATTCACCTTTATGTTCATGAACGGAACTGTTAGGGTAAATTGGAGATTATGTTGCTATTTGAGGAAGCCAAGGCTAGGTTTGGTAAATATGATTAGATTGCAATAAATCCAATAGGTAATTCAGGAAGTGGAACATTGAATAGAAGGATCTGCTGATGGGATTGGACGAAGTGGAAGGGGATGTGCGGAGCAAGAACAACAGTACAGACCAGCTGAGCTAAAAGACCCATTTCCGTGCAATGTGTGTGTAACTGTGTAACTGAAACTCCAGTACATCAGGCTGCCTTGGAAGAGAAGCTTTGTGGAAAAATGTACATCCGTATATGAATTTGATACATGTATAAATGGCTAAATATTCTATTAATGTATGTTTATAAACCTAATAAAAAAAAGAAGGTTGCTAACATTGGATTTGACATTGACTCATTGAACACTATTAGGAATCCAGTTTGAGGCTAAAATTTAATTGAAGTCTTCTGGTACCATATTGACTATTTCCATTATCAACTATAAACATTCTATTGGAAGACATTTACAGGACTGTGGAGAAGGAAGCAGGGAACGGGACTGATTTGATGGCCTTACCAAAGAGGCACCCGGGACCAAATATCTGCTTACTACACTGTAATGATAGTCCTCATTCTGTTTTCACACTTAATATTATTTCATTTGAATTACATTTTTAGGCTCTTTCTTCAAATCACATTGACATTTCCAGTTTGATGCCATTTTGCATATGTTGCTGTGCGTCGGAATCATCTGATGGTGGGACTCAATTAGTGCCATTTGCAGAACTTCGGAGAAAGTTTTTAAAAAAAGAGTTTAATTTTTGCAAGGGCGGCGGTGGGGAAGGAGAGAGAGACTGAGTGAAATAGCTGAGTTTCAGGAATGCTGTGGGTGAGACATGGAAGTAATTGAAGTCAGTGTGACTCAGTGCATGTAATCAGTTTAAACATTAGCCAGGTACATCCCACAAATGGTGGCAGTAAACCTGCTCCTGCACAGAGAGAAAGTAAAGCCATTGGCCATGCAATGAAATTGGATGTATTAAAATATCGGTGCTTGGACAATACCTTACGACAGAACAATCAGTGATAACTCTGCCAAATTTAAACAATGCAAAGTGAATCAAACTAGAAACAGCACAGTGGGAGATTGGCTTACATGATGGTCTGGGCTGTGCACACAACTTTCTGTAGTTGCTTACGGTCCTGGGCAGAGCAGTTGCCATACCAGGCCGTTATGTGCCCGGATAGAATGTTTTCTATAGTGCATCTGTAGAAGTTGGTGAGGGACCTTATGGACATGCTAAATTTCCTAAGCCACCTGAGGAAGAAGAGGTGTTGTTGTGTCTTCTTGACCGTTGCATCTACTGGGAAGTCCAGGACAGTTTGTCGGTTGTTGTCACTCCCAGGAACTTGATCTCTCAACCCTCTCCGGCTCAGCTCCGTTGATGTAGATGGGGCCACATTCTCCTCCCTTCTTCCTGAAGTCAATGATCAGTTCTTTTCTTTTGCCAACATTGAGAGAGAGAGATACCAAACTCAAAATGTTAAATCTGTTTTTCTCTCTCCACTGATGCTGCCAGACCTGCTGGGTGTCTCGAGCAGTTTGTTTATTTATTTCAGATAGCCAGCATCCTCAACACTTTGCTTTCATCGCACCTTTTCTCATAGATTCTACCATTTCCCCTATTACTAATATCAGGCTAACAAGCCTGTATTCTGATGTTTTCTCTCTCCCTCCTTTCTTAAACAGTGGGCTTAGATTTGCACCTTGCAGTCTGAAGACACCATTGCAGGATTCATAACATTTTCAAAGAGGGTTACCAATAAATTCACTTTGTCTTTGGCCATCTATTTCACTCTAGGAAGAATGTTATCAGATCTCAGGGATTTGTCCAATTTCTGTCCCAATAATTTATTCAGTACAACTACTCTACTAATTCTAATTTCTTTCAATGTCACACTCTCGCTGTACTCCTGAATCCTAACTATTTCAGGGCAACTTGTAATTGTGAAGACAGATACAAAATGCAGAATCTTACAGGGATCTGGCCAAAGTGGGCTATGGTGATATTTGTTACAGAATCAGCAAAGTCTGGCAAGACCCATCTTGATATCAGGAACATCTCACTCTTTTTTATGCTTTTTACAAGCGGTGAGTTTCCTGAGACTGAAGCGAGTTGCTAGTTTACAGAATTATTGCTTGTTAAACATTTTCTTGATGGCCGAATTCACCTCATTAATATTCCATCTTCCACCTTACCAAGCTAGGGGGAGGCAATGGCCTAGTGATATTATCACTGGACTGTTAATCCAGAGACCCAGATAATGTTCTCACCCTCAACAACTTCTCTTTCAATTCCTCCCACTTCCTACAGACAAAGGGGGTAGCCATGGGTACCCACATGGGCCCAAGCTACGCCTGCCTCTTTGTAGGTTATGTGGAACAATCCCTCTTCCTTACCTACACTGGCCCTAAACCCCACCTCTTCCTCTGTTACATTGATGACTGTATCGGTGCCGCCTCGTGCTCCCACGAGGAGCTCGAACAGTTCATCCACTTCACTAACACCTTCCACCCCAATCTTAAGTTTACCTGGACCATCTCTAACACATCTCTCCCCTTCCTGGACCTCTCTGTCTCCATATCGGGCAACCACCTAGAAACCGATATTCATTTCAAGCCCACCGACTCCCACAGCTACCTAGAATACACCTCCTCCCACCCACCTTCCTGCAAAAATGCTATCCCCTATTCCCAATTCCTTCGCCTCCGCTGCATCTGCTCCCAGGATGAGGCATTCCACTCCTGTACATCTCAGTTGTCCTCGTTTTTCAAGGACCGTAACTTCCCCCCCTCAGTGGTCGAGAACGCCCTCAACCGTGTCTCCCACATCTCCCGCACCTCATCCCTCACACCCCGTCCACGCAATAAGAACCAAAAAAGAATTCCCCTCGTCCTCACGTACCACCCCACCAACCTCCGGATCCAACGCATCATCCTCCGACACTTCCGCCATCTGCAATCCGACCCCACCACCAAAGACATCTTTCCCTCCCCACCCTTATCTGCTTTCCGGAGGGACCACTCTCTCCGTGACTCCCTTGTCCGCTCCACACTCCCCTCCAGCTCCACCACACCCGGCACTTTTCCCTGCAACCGCAGGAAGTGCTACACCTGCCCCCATACCTCCTCCCTCACCCCCACCCCAGGCCCCAAGAAGACTTTATACATCAAGCAGATGTTCACCTGCACATCTGCCAATGTGGTATACTGCTGTACCCGGTGTGGCTTCCTCTACATCGGGGAAACCAAGCGGAGGCTCGGGGACTGCTTTGCAGAACACCTATGCTCGGTTCGCAATAAACAACTGCACCTCCCAGTCGCAAACCATTTCAACTCCCCCTCCCATTCCTCAGACGACATGTCCATCCTGGGCCTCCTGCAGTGCCACAACGATGCCACCCGAAGGTTGCAGGAACAGCAACTCATATTCCGCTTGGGAACCCCGCAGCCCAATGGTATCAATGTGGATTTCACAAGTTTCAAAATCTCCCCTCCCCCTACTGCATCCCAAAACCAGTCCAGCTCGTCCCCGCCTCCCTAACCTGTTCTTCCTCCCACCTATCCCCTCCTCCCACCTCAAGCCGCACCTCCATCTCCTACCGACTAACCTCATCCCGCCCCCTTGACCTGTCTGTCCTCCCTGGACTGACCTATCCCCTCCCTAACTCCCTACCGACACTTACCTTTACTGGCCCCATCCCCGCCTCTTCGACCTGTTTGTTTCCTCTCCACCTATCCTCTCCTCTATCCATCTTCTATATGCCTCCCACTCTCTCCCTATTTATTTCAGAACCCCCTTCCCTTCCCCCTTTTCTGATGAAGGGTCTAGGCGGGAAACGTCAGCCTCTCTGCTCCTATGATGCTGCTTGGCCTGCTGTGTTCATCCAGCCCTGCACCTTGTTGTCTCTAATGTTCTGGGGACCTGGGTTCGAATCCCACCATAGCAGATGGTGGAATTTGAATTCAATAAATATCTGGAATTAAGAATCTAATGATGTCTGTGAATCCATTGTCGATTGTTAGGGGAAAAAGCCATCTGGTTCACTAAAACCCTTTAGGGAAGGATATTCCCAACCTTACCTGGTCTGGCCTACATGTGACTCCAGACCCACAACAATGTAGTTGACTCTGAACTGCCTTCTGGGCAATTAGGGATGGGCAATAAATGCTGCCTAGCCAACGATGCCCTCATCCCATGAATAAATAAAGAAAAAGAAAGTTTGTCAATTAAGTTAGACGTGGAGAAAACGGAATGTGGAAGACAGTGTGTACCTGGTAATTTCAGCCTGCTCACTTGATCCAAAGGGCCTCCATGTTGAACACCAGACACCAACATCTCTGGGCATTCTCAGTGGCCACTGCCCACAGACCCCACATCCACAGGCAGGCTCTAAGAACCTTCATGATACATCTCCAATCCAGTCACAGGACACACTCATTGTACGCATGCCTGAGTACACACATCATCCTTGCCCCACAAGGCCTTGTCTTGCCTTTTGCAACTTAGCCCCCTTAGCCTGAAATACCAGGCTCATATTATGTCCGTCTTGCCTTGCCATTCAGCACAGAAATGAAAGGAAGGAAGCCTGTCATGTTTGTCAGCAGTTGACAATCCCCCTTGAAGACTGACAGTGCAATAAGTCAAGGACAGCTTCCAATACCAGTCTAGAGGCTTGGAAATGATCAGTCAGCCGCTCAGGGTGGTTCGACTTAGGATTCTCCTACGTAGGGTGTGGATTCAAACATCAGGCAGCCCATCACTCATCTTGACTCTCTTTTTGCTCTATTGTAGGTTGTTCTCTTCCTGAAATGAGAGAGAAGCAGATATTATTGGAGATGAAAGTGGGTGGCACAATTGCTACTGTTACATTTGCAAGTTGTGAAGTGTCCTGAGCGGAGCCATTGCAGAGGGCATACTGGGCTAGTGGTGTTAGGATGGGTAAGTGCAAGTGAGGGAAGATGTTGCATGTGACAGAGTGGTAGACCCCAAGCCTTGATGGGAGTTTGGTAGAGTAGCAGAGGTTGAGTGAGTGTAAGGTATTGGAGAGAAGATGGTGACACTTATGCTGGTGGAGTGGAAAAGGTCATTGGCCTTCTTCCTACATTGCTGTGCATTCCTCAAGATGGCTGAGACTGCACTAACCCTGGTGGCAAACTCAGACCAGGCTGGTATGATATGGTGTCATGGCTTCTACTGCTGATCCTGGGGAAAGAAACAAAGTCTCACCTCTGCATCATCCCACCCAGCAGGATCTCCAGGACCCTGCTGCAAGGTAGGACGCCCATTTCCCCCTGTCTGAAAGTCCAGAGAAAATGTCAGGAAGTAGGAAAGCTTCA